ACCCGCCGCGCCCCTCCGCACACCCCTGACCCCCCGCCCGCCGCGCCCCTGCCTGCTGCCCACGGTGCTGGACTGCTGCCCCAGCTCACCCGAGCGTTTGCCTGGAAGGCCTGCCGCTTCCCAGCGGTCACACCTCCCCACCTGTCCTGGGCTGGGGAGGGAATGGAGCTGGGTGGGACTGAGCAACTCAAGGTGGGGGCCTGCGAGTTCTGTCTCTTCCTGGGCTGCTGCAGGGGTCGCTGGTCTCTGCCTTGCGTCTCCAGGGATCTCTGCATTTTCTGTTCTTGCTGCTCCGCATGAGGGAAGGATCTGCGGGCAGAATTCCATGTGGGTGACGCGCTTGCGCTTGCACTGACCTGGAAGCCAAGGCCCATGGAGGTGTGTTGGAGACCACCCTGTGTGACCGTGGCCAGGTCTGCTGGCACCTCCAGTGACCGGCACACAGGTCCTCGGCATAGGAGGCCGCAGTCTCCTGTAACCCGGATCCCAGAGAAGCCAGCCAGGTCCCAGGGGTCCACGTGCCCCGTCCTACCGACCGCGTGCACCCCAGCTCTGTGTTTCCTAGAAGCCGGGGTCTTGGAGATGCTCTTGCTTTGGGGAAATCCTGCCGTTTGTATGTCCACCCTCTGCCGCCCTCTGTACACATACAGGGTTTTCCCTCCGAGGTAAACTTGCTGAGGTCCATTTACTTTAAAATACATCGTTTGTACTCTGATCTTCCGCTTGATAAATACAGAGCGCCGGGGACCGCTGCCTTCGCGGCCTCTGGATCCCCAGCCTCCCCTCTGCTAGGTTCATGTAGACCACCAGCCTTTCCACACAGCCTCGCTCTGGCCTCCAGTTGGGGGCAGAGCTGGTCAGTGGAAAATAGAGCACTGGGGCCAGCCAGGGCCTGGCGGGTAAGGCAGCGGATCACACAGTGGCTCCTTGATTCGAGTCCCAGACCTGGCAGCTTGAGAAAGGAGCTGGGTAATTCTGTTTGTGGCCAGAATCTGAGAGGAGGATGGAGAAGGGATTGCAGCCATCCCCCAGGTGTGTTTTCACTTTCCCTCTCTCCCTTTCTGTTTCCACCAAGCTTTCCTGTTCTCTAGCAAATTTTGAAAAGAGGGAAGAGGTGTTGAACTCAGGTGTGTCAGAGCTCCCCGTGACATGCCAGCACTCTGTCCACACAGGCTGCTGGGCCTGCATGCGAAACGGGCGGGGTTACTTGTGCGAAGTGGAGTGTGAAATTCACATGGAACTGCAGACAGTGTAGGAGCTCCATGCTCTGATGTTGGGAAACTGCTGAGTCACAAAGACTGAGGCCTTGGACCCGGCCTCCGGGGCCCTGTCCTCTCTAGGGAGGCTGGCCTTGGGGCAGCCCTCCAGTCTCTTCCACTGTCCTTCCAATGTCCCGGCAGCGGCAGTGCAGCAGAGGCGTGGGCTGTGCGCCAGGGGTGAGCCTGTGAGGCCGAGTCAGAGCGGTGGGAAGGCACTGGTGGAGAGGCTGGAGGAGCTGCTGGCTGCTGGCGACAGGAGCACAGCGGGTACCCCTGCAGGTTACCAGGGCGCCATGGGTTCTGCGGCTCAGCTACTGGAGTGAAAGGGAAAGCCATAAATTTGGAATATAACCCAAAGGATAGAGAAAGCACCCTCAGGTCAGTACGGTGGAAATAATGGATTCAGTTCTAGGAGAAGAAACCACGCCATCCTCACAGGGACCAGGAGGGTGGCAGCTGATGCCCGCTGCGGGCACGCCCACGGTGGCGCCCAACCTCTGAGGCCCAGTAGGCACAACTGCCCTGAAAGAGCCCGTAATTACCAAGTGAAAACGTCGGAGTTGGTGTGAGAGCCGGCGGACGTGACCAGAGTCGCCAAGAAAGGCCAGCTTCACAAGGAGCCACCTCTGTGTGACAGCGCCCTGGGGTAGGAGGCACACGCCCAGACCAAGGCGTGCTCAGGAGAACCAACTGGGTCCCCTGGACATCTCCAGGCCTTGTCGCAGGACTACGGACGTGGGAGGGACCAAGGAGATGGACTGGCACAGCCTGGGATGAGCAGGGATGGCAGGTGGCATCGGGGTATGAGCACACGCTTCGGGCTCTCTGCGGTGGCTGTCAGCGGCAGTGGTGCCAGGTGCAGGGGAAGCTGCTCCTCTGCAGCTTAGCTCTCGGCCACACCCAGTGGCACTTCTGTGGGATCATGTTCCACTTAGTTACAAAGGGAGTTGACATCTTTATGATACTGAGTTTTAATTTGTTGAAGTCTAGTTTAAGTTACTTTTAGAGTTAATTTGCCATGAAAAGACTCATAATTGTGCCAGCTGACCTATCGCCTTCCTGTTCGAAGGACAGTCGTTGGGCGGGTTTGTGATCTGATTGATGAAGGCGCTCTCCAGACTCCAAGCTGTGCTGTCTGGCCTTGGCTTCCCCGTTGTCCCTCATAGGTACTGAAGCCACGCCCCCTCATCAGCGCTGAAGCCACGCCCCCAATCAACACTGAAAGCCCCGCCCTCCTCCTTAGTACTGAAACCACGCCCCATCAGTGCCGAAGCCACGCCCTCCTCATCAGTACTGAAGCCGTGTCCTCCTCATAGGTCCAGAAGTCACTCTGCTCCAGGGGTTATCCATGTCTTTCTAATCCTGTAAGATGCAGGATTTTTAAAAAATAATTATTTATTTAATTTTATTTGTTCATTCATTTATTTTAATTTGACTAGAGAGAGAGAGGGAAAGTGAGAAGGTAAGCCACCAGGTCCGGGACTTGAACCGTGGTCGGCCATGTGGGAGTGTCCAGCACCTGGACCACCACGCCACCTGCTGGCCCAGAGGCACCACCTTCTCAACTTCCCTCCCCCTCTGCCCTAACACAGAGGTCAGGAGAGGCTGGCGGCGCCCCAGGTGGGCCCTCCCTCTCCTCAGGTCTGTCTCCCACGGTACTTGCGTGCGCACTTCAGGGGACTGTTGGGCAGAAGAGTCACGGCGTCGGGGACAGCAGAAGGGCCAGGCCTCTAGAACATGCTGGACTCCTGTGAGCGAGCCCGAGGGGCCGCAGCGGGGGGGGGGGCCGCAGATGGGGGCCCCGGCTCCCTGCAGGGTAGTCTGCTTCCTTGTTAACCGAGCTAGCTTGAGGGAAACCGCCCGGGAAGGCCATCACCTCCCCTACAGTCAGCCAATGTGCAGACACGAGACCCTGAGGGGACATTTGGTCCACGTCCTGGTACCCATCGGGCAGTGAACTAATAGCGTGGGTCACCCCGCGTGGACGCGTGTTCGCCAAGTCCATGCTGACCTGCGTGGCGAGGGAATGGGGCTCCCCGCCGGAGGAAGAAGGGCACAGGCTGAGTGGAAGCTGAGCAGTCGGGCTGTTAATGGGATCACAGGCCTCGCTCCAAAATGTCCCCGCCGAAGCCACAGTGACTGACACCTAGCCCTGCCCACTCCGTGCTTGCCTCTCTTCCTGGGTGCTCACGTCTGCGGGTTTGCGTTCTCAGGGCGGGTCTCCAATCTTAGAGACGTGGAGCTAAAGAACCGTGGGGTTTAGACCACACGGCTCACCTCTCCTGCCAGACAACGGTATGTCAGGAATATAAAGTGGGAAGTTTTCAAGTGAAATATGTGCTAATGAGAAAGAAGCAAGGGGCCTGTCCCTGGCCTGGAGGTTAAGCCACCCCTCATGGCGGACTGCAGTCCTGGAAGTTGGAGTCCTGGAAGCAGGGGCGTGAGAAACAAGCGGGGCGCGCGTGCTTGTGTGCCGAAAGTCCTGGCAGGAAGGCCACCTGCCTCCTCCATTGCAGCTCACCAGGGGTTTCTACCAGACCCAAGAGGAGAATGGAGAAGGCACTGCAGCATGGCCATCCCCTCTGGGGGTGCTCTCCCGCTTTCTGTCTCTCTGGAGACCACACAACCCTACAGCAAAAGTCTCTTTAAAAGAAGAAGTGCGCACCCCCACCCCAGGCTCCCATCTCTAGACCCTGGAAAGGGCTGTCTGCCTGGGGTCCCTGTGAGCTCGCTGCTCCGCCTCTCCCCAAGGGCAGGTCTCGCTGACCTCCTGGAAGCCCTAGAGTGACGGTGGTCTTATTTTTAGAAGGTCATGAAAGAGGAACTCACAAAAAAAGAACTAAAAGTCCCATCTTCGAAAGCAGACTCAGTCCGAGTGCTGGCAGCACGAGGGAGGAGGGCTTTCACTGGTGCTCACCCCCACCGTCACCCCTGGACCCTAGTCCAAGCACCCCGCATCCTGGCCCAAGGGGGTCACCAGGGTTTGCTGCTGTTCAAGAGCCACGCGCTGTTGCCAGAGCATGAGCCTCGTGGTGGGACACATGAAGGGAACTGAGACCCGCCAGGAGCCACTTCTCCATCGGCAATTCATGAGTTTAGCTCCAAGAGTATTGGGAGGGGTGGACCCGAAAGTGGTTCCCAGCTGCCAGCACCACACAGAACTGAGCGGAGGCCAAGGGTCAGATCCGAGGCCATCGTGGAAGCGCGAGGGCAAGACCAGACCCTCCCAGCTCCCTGGCTGGCATTCTCAAAAGCGTGGTGTCGAGTTGCTACACCAGGGGAGCGCTGGTTAGTGGTTAGTGCTGGTTAGTGCTGGTTAGTGCTGGTTAGTCCTGCTTCTAGCAAAGGAAGACTCTGGGGCCGATAGGACAGGAAGGTCAGTCTTTTAAAGAAGACTCAGTTAAAGACTAGCACTGCTCGGCCATCGGAGCTCACCCCGGTAGAGCCAGGTAAAAACGCCACCTTCGTTTCTCTTCTTTATGCCAGAGGGCACATGCGTGGGAGAGAGCTGGTGAGAGAGAGCCTCGAGTGGGGCCTGGTCAGCGCAGCCCCTTCTCCTCCATGTCTCCTTCCTAGCAGGATTTTGGGTGTGCGCGCACACGTGCCTGGCACGCTCCAGGTCCAGGATTCAAACCTACCCTGCGTGCGTGGGGTCGGGTCTCCTGTGCACAGATTTAACTGCTGGGGGTAGGGGCCGACCCTTGTTTTTCTTTTAAGTTTTGAAGTCAACTTTATTAAGTTTAGATTACATCAAATAAAGATGCACATTTCAGTGTCCCATTTAATGACCTGACAGAGGTGTGCCTCACCCCGGTTGTAGCTAGCCAGGCCCTGAAGGGGCAGCCGTGGTGTCAGTGGCCGGCCAGGTCACGGAGCACGGTGGGGCTGCACGTGGGCTGTCTGTCTGTGCCAGTGGCTGGCTGGGTCCCGGGGCGCGGCGGGGCTGCACTGCCCTGGAGCCCGGCCACGCAGAGCCGTGTGCACTGCTCACTCCGCCCTTTTGCTGGTCTGTCCGTGGGGCTCTCATAATTCACTCACCCGCTTGCCTGCTGGGGGGTATTCAAGGCTTTCTGATTTATGCTCATTACAGATACAGCTGCCCAGGTCTGTGGACGCGCCTTTGTTCGTCACCGGTGGGGTGCGCGTGTCTTCCTCTAAGACAAGCTGTCACGTGCTCTTCAGAAGTGACACAGCACTGCCCATTGTCACCACGTTCTCCCCACACCCTTGCCTACATTCGACAATTGTCAGTTTAAAAATTGCAACGGCAGGGCCAGCAGGTGCATGGTGGTTGAGGCCCTGGACGAAACGGCTGACCATGGTTTGAGCCCCGGACCTGGCGGCTTAGTTTCTCACTTTGCTTCTCGCTCTCTCTGGTGCGCACCTGTATCAAATTAAGCAATTATGAGTAAAGTTTTAGGAATCCCGGTAACCGTGCAAC